TAGTTATTTGTTCTGTAATACATTCATGCCACCTCTGAGCAGCATTAACTATATAAATATCCTTATAATTATAGAACTGCAGTGTATATTGTACATTAAATATAGTTTTCACCCTTCGCTTTTGTTGCTATTGCTTTATTTGCTTTTATTACCTGAGTGCAAATGTAAGTTATGATATTTTTCCAGGGTCCTCCTGGACCAAGAGGAGCAATCGGGCTCCCAGGACCACCAGGCCCACCGGGACCAGCAGGACCAGCAGTAAGACTGACTTTCACCATTGACAAATTTCATAAGTTAGCAACAACATATGTATACCAAATCTTATGCACAAATATTTGACTTGTTTTATTGACAATATAGTGGTTTGCTTGGCTAACTCCAATTCTGGATAATGTAATTTTTCAGCAAAAACGTTTAATTATTGTACATTGAATTAATTGGATTTACATTCACCATTAATTAGTTACCTCTGAGCTGTCTTTTAAGGTTTATCGGTTACTGTGCTAACACTTTACAAGAAGGCTAGTGCTTGTGCTAGTTAATGTTAGTATTTACTAACATAAATAAACAATGAACAATTAACTTATTACAGTATTTCTTCATCTTTGTTAACATAAGTTAATGGTGATAAAGTTGTTCATTGTTAGTTCATGTTGACTCACAGTGCATTAACAAGCACAAATTTTAATAATGTATAAGTAAATGTTGAACTAGTGTTGTCAGAAGTATTCGGTTTGGTACCAATTGGTACTGAGATTAAAAAAACAAATGTCAATTTCCCGCTAACATTTGAGCGATGTTGAGTGTGTTCATAAACACAGCTGATTGGCTGTTGTGTTCACGTGCTCAACAGAAATGACTGTGATTGAATAATTGTGAACCTTCACAGCCAATCACAGTCATTTCTGTTGAGCACATGAACACATCAGCCAATCGGCGGCATATGTTAGCGGGAAATTAAAATTTTAAAATTTCAGTACTGATTTGTACTGAACGCTATTCTTTTGACAACACTATTTTGAACTATGATGATAAATGCTGTAGAAGTATTGTTAAATAACATTAACTAGTGCAACCTTATTGTAAAGCGTGACTTTTATTGTTAAAAATCAGTTTACAGATTTTTCCATTTTGTATATGAAATTGTCTACTGCATTATACCAAAATAATACAAATTAATACTATTATTATTTTTTAAGTTGGTATATTTTAGTAAATTTTTTGTCTTTATATTAGCAGTTTCATTCTAAGCAGTTTTGAGTCTTTTTGTCCCTGCTGTTATCCATTACTATAACTGGATCAGGGACTTGAGTTGGCTTTCAGACGGTTTTGTACTAATGCGGAGCTTTTACTTGGATCTTTTCTGAACGCTGTAACAGTTGAGGCTTTAAAAAGCTACTTTGTTTGAGAGTGTGAATCTAAACTGCGCTGCTGTCATTCTGCTGTTCATAGGGGCCACAAGGTGCTGGGAACCCTGAGGGAAGTGGGGAGACTGTGAGTGCTTGTTAGATTTCAATAATCATCCTGCTTCACATGGACACAGAGAACCTGCATATAACCATTTAAGAAGTCTTTAAAAAAAAAAAAAAAAAAAAAAAAAATATATATATATATATATATATATATATATATATATATATATATATATATATATATATATATATATATATATATATATATATATATATATATATATATATATATATATATATATATATATATATATATATATATATATATATATATATATATATATATATATATATATATATATATATATATATATATATATATATATATATATATATATATATATATATATATATATATATATATATATATAGATATATATATATATACATATATATATATATATATATATATAGCTATATATATAT